TAGCTTCAAAATACTTTTTTGGCAACGTGTATTTTACTTTGGGTGCCATCACTTACTGCAGGGATGGGGGCTTGGAAAAGAAATAAGCATCAAATTAAATTCAGTTAATTTACTTAAAGTGTAAAGAACATATTTCTTACTGCACGTGTTTTCCTTTTCATCTTCAAGCCGGTTTTACCTAACTGGGTAAGAAAGAAAGTGTGGGAGAAACACCTAGCCTTTTTGTGATCTTTCTCTTTTTGTCTGGTTTTTGAGAACCTGCGATCTTCAACAGACTGGAAAGCTCCTTGAGGATTCATACGTTATGCTGCCTTACAGCCCCATGGTCTTCGCCACATTCCTGGAGCAGTGTGGGTGCTCAGTAAACACACTTTGGTGATTAATTAAATATATTTGATTCTATTGCTAGAAGAAAACTACTAATGTAAAAGCAATGTTGGAATTTCCTTGTTCTAGGAGATAAAACAGAGGTCGCTCCTCTGTTTAGGAATACGGCTCCATGAATATACTGGTTACGGCAAAGTGGAGACAAAGGCAGTTAAATGGCAGAGTGTCACGACAGCAAAAGGAATTTTCCTCGAGTAAGGCGGTTGCTGTGATGTAGAGGAATTGTTTAATAACTGTAGGTAAATAAGCAATGTGTTTTTAGAAGGATTAGGAAGGGTGGAGGTAAGGGGGGTTGCAGTGGGGCTGGCAAGACAGAAGACAGAATAAGGCTGAGTCCCTGAATCCAGCAGGTGTCACAAGAGAGTGGGCAACCGCGCACACTCATTAGACGTGATGGCCGTGACGGCCGTGACTCCTGCCTCATCCTTCTGTCCCACATTGTCCTCACCACGTCCTCAACCATGTGAGAACAGGTTCTGTGCAATTTGTGGGCAGAACTGTTTTATTTATTTATTTTTAATGATTTTTTTTAATCAAAAAACTTTTTTTTGAGGAAGGGAGATAATTAGGTTATTTATTTATTTATTTTAATAGAGGTACCGGGGATGGAACCCAGAACCTCGTGCCTGCTAAGCAAGTGCCCTACCACTGACCTCTCCCTGCCCCTCCCCCAGAATTGTTTCAATACAGCAGATCCATAAATTCAGTTCTGGTGAGGGTACAGTTGGGTCCCCCGGGGCATCTCGCTTCGCTTGTCAGAGCCTCAGTGTCCTCAATAAGAAAATGGAAATAGACATGCCCGCCCTCTAGGATTGTTGCTGAGGGCTGAACGGTGGCGGAGGGCCAGTTAAGGTACTTAATATACAGTCAATTATAGTTAGTTTCATGGCTTTTATCCTACAAGCGACTAGCACACAGAGCGTGCTCTGGGTGGTGACTGTTTTCTGGTAGGCATGGGGGGCTCATTCTGTACAGAACAGTCACACGACCTTGTCAAATCACGTGATCTGAGGTTCCTTAACTATTAGACACTTTGCAGGCTGATGAGGTCGCCAACTTAAGAAACTGAGTGTCCTATGATTCTAACTAAAATGAACATAAAACTCACCAAACCAGAAGACTTGAAGATGAAAAATCTTACTATAAATATATATGGTCAGAGCATAAGCGTAAACCAGGACTGTCCCAGAAATGACCAGCGTGTGGTCATTCTAGCTTTGCTTTCTCTGGGCTTTGGGGCAGCTAACAAGGGCCCTTCCAGAGTCTGCCTTTTTCAGTTCTCCAGAAAGATCTGATGCTAAACTTTGACACCTACTGATCCTTCGGTAAATATTGAATATAAAAGAGAAGGAACGAACAGAAACAAATGTAGGCGTATCATAACCTGAGGCATGAACAAGACCCATGGCAAATTATGTTAGAGCTCTTTTTAAGGAAGTATAAAGCTTTCAAATACACAACTTTGGCCGTAATTAAAACGGGGAGAGTTTGAAAAGAATAAACGGGTTGGAAGGAGAGAGGAAAGAAATTCGTTTATTGCACAGGTGAAATCAAGGCATGGAAACCAGCTGTCATTCAATTTGGGTGTATCTCTCTCTAATTTAGTTTGGGCTCTTTGTCAAAGTCACTGACCTTCAGCTAGAAATCACCTCTTGGAGTGACATGATTGGATCTAATGAAACCACTTGACATCATCTTAAACTTTCGATCACTCAAGAAAGACACTGTATCATCCTCTCGAGACTGGTTTCTTCAAAATTTCTTCTAGTTTGCAGAAAATGTTGAAGTCGCTGCCTGTGCAGGGCTCTGTTTTGATTGCGGACAGATAAGCAAACACATGATTGGCCACACGGGGGATTAAGATGTGGTAATTTCCATATAAAGTTGACTATGATGAATAATTAGGCAAAGGTAAATATTTTCTAAAGTCTATTTGGATTACTTCTCTGCAGGAGTAAATGCCTCACTTTTTTTTTTTTAGTTGAATTACCACATTCTTTCGGTATTCTTTCTTTTGAAGATAATTTGTGATTCCTTGGCGGGAATTAATGTAATGAGTAGACTCTGCTTATACGTGATTATGGACTTGTTAGTTTCAGTATCTCCCCTTCAATATGGTCTTGGGCCTGTTAGGTCTGATGATTTGGGGTATTTTGAGCAAATCGATGATCTTACGACTCAGTCTAACTCAATCATGGGCTTCATCTCTGTTTACAAAACATGCCATGTCTGCCCTAAAATTTCCTTAGCCTTCTTAGTGTTAATCACCTTCAGGGAAGATGCTGTTAGTACCCACTGGGGGATGAACTGGCCCTGACGGCTTAACACACCGAGGACATCACTGTCCCAGCCGCTGAGACATAGGAACTTGGCAGGAAGGTCGTGAGGCCGGTTACAGGATAGCCTGTTCCCTGGTGCTGGCCCCTTCTGCGTGTCTACACAGTGATTCCAAACGCAGAGCCCTGACCTCAGAGGGACCCAGATTCACACGTTAGGTCCTGCGCTCACGAGGCACCTGACATTTGCTCTACCAGCCCTGAGTTGCCTGGTAGATTTCTAACTGCAAAGGGCAAATAATCACACACACACACACACACACACACACCCCATTAAAACTGTCTTTGCTAGCAGATAAACCTAGTTCTAACTGATGTGCTAAGGTCATTATTGCAGCAACAGCAATGATAACAATAATAATGCTAATTAAAAGGGTGATCAGCTCAATATGGATTTTAACGTAACACAGTGGTACGCAGTAAATCCTTTTTTTTTTTCTTTTTTTTTTTGCAGGGGGGAGGTAATTAGGTTTACTTATTTATTTGATTTTTCAGTGCAGGTACTGGGGATTGAACCCAGGACCTCAGGCATGCTAGGCATGCGCTCTACCACTTGAGCTATACCCTCCCCCCAATAGTAAATCCTTTGGAGCTGAAAGTTTATGAGCATTGGTTTTGACCAATCACTTAGATAAGAAATAAATATTGAAGTTTTCTGGACACACGGATAAGCAGACAGACTGTTTAGTTTTCTACATAGCTGTTGTATCTTGCATCCAGTTTGAAAACATGACAAATTCAAGACTAAGGCTAAAGATTCATAGGACTTATTTTTCGGGGGGAGGGGTGTTTTATTTAATTACTTTATTTATTTTTACAGGAGGTACCAGGGATTGAACCCCGGACCTCTTGCATGCTAAACACCTGCTCTATAACTTGAGCTATGATCTCTCCCCGTCTAGACCTCTCAGTCTTTCTTCTTGAGCTGCAAATTATTCATGACAAGCACCATCAATAAAAGCCTCCTTACCCAAGGCCAAAGAGGGCCTGGCTTTTCCACCTCTCGTCTAATGGAGGGAGGCCAGGAAAATGCGCGGGGCCAGGCCTGCCTTGCGTGGCGGTGTGCGCGGCTGGTGATTTAGGAGAAAACAAGCCCCAGGTCACGGTACAGACGTCTCTCACGCAGGCAGCCCCGTGCCTGCCGTGGTTATAAGCACTGTGTTCTCGGTTGTGGTCCAGGAAGCAACATTTATATTTTACGTGTGGTGATGGGAGAGAGAGATTTTGAGACAGACTCTCAAGGCCACCGGGGCAGCTCAAGGTCATGAAGCCCGACTCTGCCATCTTGTGCCGGCACCATTGCCCCTGGAGGTGGTCCAGCTGGCTGATGCCTCCCGACCCCTTTCCTTCATGGCTTTGGGAATCACATCACCTACTTCCAACCCTGCCTAAGTAACAGCCTTCAGATTAGATTGCTCTAATATTTTTCCCCCATTTCCAGTGGATATGGTTTTCACCTGCTTACTGTCTGAATGCCTTTCCCTTGTTGCATGTTAATTTGTCTGTATTATTCTTTTAATGCGGAACACCCCAAGATAATCCCCCAAGTAATTTTTTTTTTAACCAGCCTGGAGAAGACCAGTACTAAGCTCTTTCTTGTCGATGAATTTTTGGGGAAAGAGTGAGTCATGTTTAACTAATTCAACTCTAGGCTTGGTTCAAATACCTAAGTTTCCCAAACGGGAAAGGTATTTTTGACAGATTGAACTTGAACCTTTGGAAGTTCAGGTCGAAATGTCCTCTCCCTGGATGGGGCCCATAATCTGAACATGTATAGATTTTGAGGGGTTTTTATTTTGATATTTACTATACTTAGATATAATTTAAATAAATTGGGAGTCATATTTGCATACATGGCAACTGAGGGATAGCTGTACATTTTTTTCTTAATTAGGTTTTTAATTGGATCAATCAAACCTTTTGTTAAGTTAAAAGCAGAGACAGAATCTTGCCTCTTGAGGTCTTTCGTTTTTCATTCATTTTCTATCAGAAGCATGTCTAACCCGCCCTGAGGCATACAGTACTCATTTTCTCTCCTTCTTTATTTCCTAGTTCTCTGTCCTCATCAGCTTCAGAACTGCATCCGATCACACGTGGTGAATTGAAATTCATGGGGAAAGTCTTGTCAAAGCAGTTGTCCTCATATACCTTTGGCTTTGTGGCTCTGAACATGTTTCCCAGGAGTACAGACTATTTCAATGTGAAGTTTGCTGAATAAGGATGCTACACTTATTTCTGAGAAAACTCATAGCCCTTGAAATTAAGGGGGGGAAAAAAACGACCTTTCCCCTGGGCAAACGTGGGGCAGTTTCATTGGCAACAAAGAAGCTTGGCAGAACAACCAAGAGTGGCATGAGGAATGAGAGTGAGGAGGAAGCTCGGTGACTGGGCGCAAGGCTGGAGTCCCTGATGGGGCCGTTGGAGCAGGCATTCAGTGAGAGTCACGCCCTTCAGGCTGTGGAGTTCTGCATCTCAGTGAGCGAGCAGCAATGACAGTGGACACTAGACATGCTGGGCGAGGCTGCAAAATAGTGCTGAGAGCCATGCAAGCTGTCTGATCCCGTGTTAGAAAAATCATGGTAAAGATGTACTTCTCAGGAGGGAGGGTGTAGCTCAGCGGTATGTGCGCAGCATGTACGAGGTCCAGGGTTCAATCTCCAGCATCTCCATCAAATAAAATAAATAAATAAACCTAATTACCTCCCCCTCCAAAAAGTGTGTTCCTATAACCCAGTTCAAAACAATCACAAATAAAGAGGGTGGGAGGACACTTTTGGTGATGGATATATTTATGGTAAATATTGTGGTAATGATTTCACGATGTCTGTTCATCTCCTAGTTCATCAAGTTGTATACATGAAATATGTACAGCTTTTTGTATGTCCGTCAAACCTCAAAAAAGGGGTTACAAAAGATGCTCCCTTTTAAAGACTTAATATCAAAGAGAAAAAGATCTGATAGATAATGTTACGTTATTATATATTGAAATAATAATATTTGGGGTGTATTGGTTTAGATAAAATGTATTATCAAACTGTCCACTGCTTCTTTTCGCTTCCTTGAGAGCTTGTCTGGAGGTTCTAGCAGGGGAGCGCAGCTGCTCACATATCCTTGACTGAGAAGAACCATCCTCCTCTACCGGGGATGGTCTCCTCGTCTACCAAGCCTGCAGCTTCGGGAGGGACGCACATGGAGCAGTGAGGGAGGAAAGGGACACCCGCCTAGCCAGCCAGATTAGCTGAAACAACCCTGGAGATCAATGGGGTGACAGATGTCGCAGCCAGATCGCCCTCATGTCCTCTTTCTGCTTTCTTAATGAAACTACCAGAAAATGTAAATTTGTGTATTTAGCTTGCTTTCTGCTTCATCAGAGCAGCCCTGGTCTGTCGTCGTTGGCATCGCTCAGATCCATGACCCGACACCACCAGCTCCTCTATCTGGCATCCAAGTTACTTCAGGGTCAACATCCAAATTATTGGTGTGAAGTCTGCCTGTTTCAGAGCTCAGGTGAAGATAAGAGGTCAATTACAGAGGGCACCCCCACCTGTCTCCCCCCTGGGGCTCCTTGTTGAGACTACAGCACCCAGCTTTGGTCCCAGGAAGGTGAGCCAGGGTTCACAGCCCAGCAGGAAGGAGTTGGGGGGGGCATTGCTTTTGTTTCCTGCTTTCCAGGGCAGGTAAACAAACGGGGCATCCAAGATGGGAGCACGTTTCATTCCCGCTCTGAGTGGGAAATAGAAATGTGGGTTATTCTGATCAGTGGTTTTAATGGTCAGGGTTAAGACAAGCTCTTTAAGTCTCTGGCGTGGACGCGGGTGGATTAAACAACGAAGCAGAGGGTGTGCTCACTGTGGGGAAATCTGGAAGTCTGTCTTCCTCTTCAAGTGATCGGGGTGTCGCCTGCTCATGCCCTGTTCCATGTCCAGACACCATTCTCACGACTGATCTGTGCTTGTCTATCTGTTTCTGCTGAAGGATAGTTGACTTGCAGTGTCATGTTCATTTACGGGGTACAGCATGGCGACTCAGGTATACCGACGACTGTGTCTACTTTTTGTTCCCATAGGCGGTCACCCACAACGCATCGCTATGTCATCTGCTAGGTTTTCTGAGCCCCAAATAAGCCTGAGAAGCAGAAAAGCCTGGTGGCATTCTACTTTTAGAGGTGAGGCACTGAGGAGAGGAGACTAATGTTTACCGAACACTTAACAGGGGAGAGACGTTATCCTGGGTGCGTGGCACACTTTTAGTGTATTTAATGCTCAAAGATCTCTTAGCCTGAACATTAAAATGACTTTTCTAAGGCTGCAGAGCTATACGTGTCACAATCAAGAGTCTCACCACTCTTTGTGTCTTAGCACTTCCTTCGGAGAACAAGTTCAAGACCCAAGGTTTCTCAGGAAATGACCTTCAGGGTCATGCGTTTCCTCATCAGATGCTTCAAGGTAGCGTTCAGCAGAGCCCTGCATTGCATTCTTTACTTTCCCAAACAAAACCAAAGACTCTTTGCTGTCTTGTTCCAAATGCATTTTTTCTGATAATAATATTAATAAAATAGTAGCATACAGAGATGATTTATTCAAGGCGTACTTCACGACTGGTGTTTTACACACAGTCATGCCATTTCATCTTTCCAGCTGCTGTGTAAGGTGCACACCATTATCAAATTTCACAGGAAATAGGCTCAGAGAACTTAAGCAATTTGATCATCGACACACAGCTACTGAAGGACAAGGAAGAGGCACTAAAATGTATTTAATTTACTAACTTCTTCCTTTTCTGCACAATGATAATTATTTTAGCGTCTCTGCATGGCTGAAATGCTAAAATTTGATGATTTAACATACTGTTTCTCTTTACTTTTCCGCCCTCCACTAAAGTGGTGAAGGGCAGAACGGATGATTTCCGAAAAGTTCTCAGCCTTCAGATTTGCTTTCCGTAAGCACGTTCGGTATAAAAACGCCTGCTGGAGATACACTCCTGCCAGTTCCTATTAAAGACCGTCTCAATCCACTTTCATAACATATTTAAAAGTAAAGTTTATTGCTGGAGAAAGTATCTACTTCATAAGCCAAAGCGATCCATCTCAACTGAACTAAAGAAAAGACATGAAAACTGGATGTCCAGATCAGGGATTGGGAAAACTAAAAATACCTTCGAAATAAGTTCCTTCTCTGCTTAATTTTTGATGATAGCTATCTATAGCAAAGTCTCAAATGTGAAGGGCCAAGAAAAAAAAATAGGTTGATGTCCCGGGCATACGCAGTTAAAACCTAAAAACAAAACTGAGATGAATTTCTCAAGCAGAAAACTACTTTTTAAAAAATACATGAAGTCCATTTGAGAAGAAGAAGGAGATGAAAGCTGGATCTTTTTGCTGCCAAACTTTCAGATGAAAACTGATTTATAGATTCAGAGACCCTCCTCAGATTTCTTGGATTCCATGTCTGTCTCTTCCCATTAGTTAGTCCTGCGTGTGTACAGTTAAGTGATGTATTTTTCTGAACCCCATTTTCATCATGTAATGTCTTTGCCCCAGACTGCCTTTCTCTCCATGTAGTCACACCCCACCGACCTTTTGGACCACAGTGCTGGCCTCAGCTGTTGTCTTATGGCCTGAATGTGCCCCCTCAGAATGTCAACCCCCATCCAGACTACTTCCTTCACACCTTCTAATCATGTCTCTTGCTATTGTGCCTTCTAGAATTTAAGCTCTTTCCTTTTTAATTTTAAACTCAATGATCTGTCCAAGTAGATACAGGCAAATCCAGTTTCCTCCATAAATGTTCTCTGATTTATTCAACCCAAATTCCTCTAACCTTTTTTCTGGACTCACCCGGCAATGTTTTCCAACTTTTTAAAAATCATACTCAGTAATTATGTTGACAGGGGAGGGTATAGCTCAGTGGTAGAGCACGTGCTTAGTATACACGAGGTCCCGGGTTCCATCCCCAACATCTCCATTAAAAAACAAATAAATGGATAAATTAACCTAATTCCCTCTTCTACTTAAAAAAATTTCAGAAACATTATGCTGTACACCAGAAATAGACATTGTAAACTGACTATACATCAATTAAGAAAAAATCCATTCAAGAAAAACAATAATTATATTTGTCTGCTGCAGGAGGAGGTGGTCCAGTCTTGGGGACAGGATCTCTGCCCAGCAGCTCCAAGAACTGAGCAAATCAATGACTCTAAGCCAAAGTAACCCATTCCTTGCCACAGCCTGGCAGTTAAGAAGCTCTGCTTCATGGGATTGATGACTGTAACTTTGAAACCCTAAACTGGGTGTATATAGTGTGACCAGTGTTCTTAGTCTAACGGTGGGGAAACTGGGGCAAAGGAAAACAGGGTCTGAGATTTTTGATTCAGTCATTTCAATATGGCCTCGTAAATACCTTTTGGAACATACATATTTTGGCATCTTTCTTTTGATAAGAAATGTTGCAACAAATTTTGCCTTGATCTAAAAAGACACAAAGTCATTTAATGTATAAAGTTAAAAATTGCCATGTCACTCGCTCAACAGACTTTCTCATGCAGCTCTTCACAAACTTACAGGACTCAAGTATTCTGCCCGGACAGAGGTGACCCTGAGCTGTCATCAAACGTTTATGGAGTAAGACTGGTGTGTCCTACACACTCGCCGCTGCCTGTCCCTGACCTTGGAGCTGTATCTTTGTTCCAGCCTCACCACAGTTTTGCAAATTTGGGGATGCAACCCGTGGTCCCTAGGCAGTCGCGAACAGTGTCCTCCCTCCTACGTGATCTAACATCTGGCTTTCAGAAATTACTCAGAGGTGCCTTATTTCTATCTGTAAACTCTTTAATGTAGGAACTGTGATGGTTCCCTCCCCCAGCACAGTTCTGCCCTTATTCACACCCCCGGATGTGGTTTAAGCAAGAAGGCTATCTGTCTGACCAAACGATGCCTCCGGTTTTCCAACTGAGCCAGGCTTTGCCTCCCTTGCTTTCAATCTGATTGGACGTTTTGACCTATATTAATAGTGGAGACCTTCAGACGTCCTTGCACGATGTATATATTTTTGGCTCCAGCGTATGCTGTAGGGTAAGGCTGTGGCTTGAATAGATGGATGTGCTCCAGCCGGTTACCGACTGAAGGGCTGCCTCATCCTCTTATGTTCAGGGCTCTTCTGATCAGCCTGATTGGGCTTTGGGGCCTGTCTGTGCAGGCCTCCCTCTCATCATTGTCAGTGTTCAGTTACGGTGAGAAAAATCCCCCTCTGGCTGGCACGTTTCGTGGCCGCCCTTCCCCAGCGACCGCAGGCACAGAGCACCCCAGAGCCCCAGTCGCTTCCTGGAAGCCCCCTGGGAAATCTGCAGAGCCCTGACCATCTCACCTCAGGGGCTGCCAGCAGATACGTGGTCCTGGGCAGACCTAGAAGGAGACCTATCGACTTTAATGGAGGTTCTGATTCGGGGCCGGTGGCCACTTCTCAAGGGCATACAGGGACCGAAGGGTTCTGCACTGAAGCCTGACTCTTGGAATCTTTGGTTTATTCAAGAAGGATGCCTGGAATTGTTAGCCAGGTTCACATTTTTATTTCTTACTTTTGCATTGAAAGCACT